GCTTTCATCACTTTCTCTCCTGGCTGCCTCTATTTTGGGGTTGGAAACAAAATACAGTTGATCCTTGAACAACATGGCTTTGAATTGCATGGGTCTACTTCTGCGTGCAATTTTTACAGTACACTAAGCGTATTTTCTCTTCCTTATGATTTTCTTAATAACATTTTCTTTTCTCTAGCTTACTTTATTGTAAGAATACAGTATGTAATACGTATAACATGTAAAATATGTCTTGATTGACTGTTTATGTTCAGGGTAAACCTTCTGGTCAACAGTAGGCTATTAGTAGGTAAGTTTTTAGGGTGTCAAAAGTTATGCATGGATTTTCCACTGCTCAGGGAGTTGGTGCCCCTGATCCCCACATTGTTCTAAGGTCAACTGTCCTCGGTTTTCCCAGCTACTCTTACAGCTGGAGGTGGCCATGTGAAACAGTTCTAGCCAGTGAAGTGTAAGTGCAAATCTTCAAGAAAATCTTTCTTTCCAGAATAAGAAGCAAACCTCTCTAAGAGAAAGCCTTTGATCCTTTTGCCATTCCCTTTCCTTCCTACCTGGAATGCAGACATGATGGCTGGAAGTGCATTAGCCATCTTGCAATCATGACGCAATAAGCAACGGTCAGAAAAGCCAACTGAAAAAAAAACAAAGTAACTTGGTTCTTGATGGCATCATTGGTGACCATTATTGCTAGGTTGGCCAACCTCTTGGTTTGCTTGGGACTGAGGGATTTTCTGAGATGCAAGATTTTTTTTTTTTTATGTTCTGTTAGTCACCATACAGTACTTCATTAGTTTTTGATGCAGTGTTCCATGATTCACTGTTTGCGTATAACACCTAGTGCTCCACGCAATACGTGCCCTTCTTAATACCCATCACCGGGCTAGCCCATCCCCCCACCCCCTCCCCTCTGAAACCCTCAGTTTGTTTCCCCAAGTCCATAATCTCTCATGGTTTGTCTCCTCCTCTGACTTCCCTCCCTTCATTTTTCCCTTCTTTCTCCTAATGCTATTCCTTATGTTCCACATATAAGTGAAACCATATGATAATTGTCTTTCTCTGCTTGACTTATTTCATTTAGCATAATCCCCTCCAGTTCCTCCATGTCAATGCAAATGGTGGGTAATTAACAAGGCAGGAAACAACAAATGTTAGAGAGGATGTGGAGAAAGGGGAACAAACCCTCTTACACTGTTGGTGGGAATGCAAGTTGGTACAGCCACTTTGGAAAACAGTATGGAGGTTCCTCAAAAAGTTAAAAATAGAGCTACCGTGTGACCCAACAATTGCACTACTGGGTATTTACCCCAAAGATACAAATGTAGTGGAAAGAAGGGGCACATGCACCCCAATGTTCATAGCAGCAATGAGATGCAGGACTTTTGATACTAAAATAGGAATAGTCATGGGCGAATCTGAACCCTAGCCTACAGTTGGTCACCCCATCCTAGCCCTGGGTGCTTATTTCCAGAGACAACATATTATATAATAAAAAAATAATTGTGGAAAGTTGGTATTTCTAAGATTCAGTGAACAGACATGGATAGAATTTCAGGTCATTGGTGCTAGCTGCCTTCACTGAAGTTCTCCCAACTGAGTCTCATAATGATTCTTCATGGTGGGTTTTGCTATACCCATTCTACATATGTAAAAACTGAGGCACCAAGAAGGTTAACCCAACTGGAATTTAAGTCCTATACATTAATGCTATGTCCTTATCCCCTAAAGCTATTCTGGCTCGTTTTCTCTTAATATGTGATCATTCAGTGTTATTTTAGGAATGGGCATCATGCCTTTCAAATGAATAAAGTCACTGTGAGGGCTCCTGGGTGGCTCAGTCGGTTAAGCGACTGCCTTCGGCTCAAGTCATGATCCTGGATTCCTGGGATAGAGCCCCGCATAGGGCTCCCGGCTCAGCGGGGAGCCTCCTTCTCCCTCTGACCCTCTCCCCTCTCATGCGCTTTCTCTCTCTCTCTCTCTCAAATAAATAAATAAATAAATATTTAAAAAAAAAAAGTCACTGTGAGATGCAATCATCCCCCTTCTTTTTATGATTTCTTTCTGGACAAGTAAAAAAACCCCAGTGATCTGACTTGTTTCTCCATCACTGCTGTCAATGAACAAGAGAGAATTGGTTTGCATAGATTTAATGTATTTTTTTTTAATTACAGCTGAATGATTCAAAAGATGCAAAGTGGAGTGTAGCAAAAAGTCTCCTTTCTACCCCTGTGGCTTTATAGATGAATATTAGGAAAACTTCCATCAGTTTTGAATTAATGGTTTTGAATGTGGGTAATAATGACAGTATTTGTTTTCAGCTTTTGAGATTGCAAAATACTCTCAAGGACAGAGTCTCGTTTTCTCCTCCCAGCTTGTTGGGGACGTTTTCTTCAGACCCTCCTTCGTAGTCACAGAGCCTCCCCCTAGGCCAACCCCCTCCATCTGCTGAGGCCAAGACTGCTCTCTGGGTCCCTCATACCTCTCACAGGCTATGGGCCTGTGACCGAGACCTCACCGCAGCTGGTGTGGTCTCCCCCCACCCCGCCCGGGGCCTCTGGAGTATGACTACAGGCTCTCCATGAGTTCTTTGTATCACTCACCAGGCTGAGGACAGGCCCTCCCAGAAGACCTGTGGATGGGCCAGCTGGCCTGCTCTTGTGCCTGGGTCGCATGGGAAACCCTCTTCCATTAGCACGTCTGACTCACTTTCTCTGACAGGTTGCGTATTTATTCCCAGTTTGCCCTTTATTAAAAATAATGTTTAAGAAGCATCTGTAATAATGTGGGAAAGTATTATGTTAATTGAGAAAGCATAATTTATCAGTATCCACATATAGCTACATCTCTGAAAATCATATAATTTAGACTCAGAACAAAGCCTACGTGTAGAAAAATTCTGGAAATAACTCATTCTTCCATCTCAGCCCAACTGTACCTCTTCCTCTAGATTCCAGATTCATCTTAACTGGGATCCACCTGGCTTCCTCAGCCAGATCATTCTCAGCTCCTTTTCCTGTACCCGCATCACCAGCACCCCTGGGCCTCTGCCAGGCCAGGCTGCCACTGGTCCTGTCCGTGCTCACTCCTTCCCGCTCACAAACCCCTCTGCTGTTCTCTGTCCTCATAGCCAACCCCCTAGTGCAGCCTCAGCCAACTCACACCCAAGCTTCTGTAATATCCTTAACACCAGTCTTTTGGGTCCTAAGTCTTGCTCTGGCGGGTGCAGTCTCTCCATTTCAGTCAGGGGCCTCTGTCTTTAAAAAGAAGAAAATAATAACCCTATAACACACCCTGTTTCAAGGTCTACTTGTGCCCCAGGTCCTCATGAAAGAGTTGAATTCCCTGGCTCCTGCTCGCGTCTCTAGCGCCTCTCTTGCCTTTCCAGACTCTGCCCATCGCCTGCTGGCTGTTGCTAAGCCCTCAGCTCAGCCCCACCGTCTCACTTCCCTCTGGACATTGCTCACCTGCCCTGCACATTTTGACTCTTCCCTGGTTTAAGCTTCATGGACTTTAAGGAAATAAGGTTAAAACTAAAACATCAATCAAGTTTTAGCTGAATAGTGATGATGGATATTCATCATGATGTATATATAACTCAGTCAATCCATCAACCATTCATTCATTAAAGAAACATTAATTCAGATTTATTAGGCATCGTGCATGCAGTGGCCCAGGGCCACACTGGTTCTGGGTGTTGGCCCACATGGTCCTGTAGCAGGAGTCTTCTTGCAGATTTGTTCATGCAATCTGCATTGCCATCTTTCATTTGTGTTTATTCAACAAATGACCATGCAAAAACCAACAGCAAGGAATCCCTGTTCTCAAGGGTCACAGACTTATGAATTTGTCATCATGCCACATGCCCAGTGCCGTGCAAAGGAAGGCAAAGCCCTGCGGGGGGGCACGGGTGGTCTCCTAATGGAAGGGAGGTTGAACTAACCAGTGTTAACAGGTAGATGGGGCATGAGAGAGAGGGGGACAAGGAAGCAAGAGAGAGAAGTTCTTTTCAGAAGAGGTAACAAAGACTCAGAGATTAAAACCTGGCTCTACCAGGACCCGGGGAATGTGTGCACTGTGGCCAGAGTGCTAGGAGCCATGCATCCCTCACACTCCACCTGCTGTTGGCACTTTATCCTCCACCAGAATGGAAAACCTCCCCCTCTAAGTCCTACCCATTCTCGAGACCCACTCAAGACCTACTTCCTTCGTGAAGCCTTTTTGGACTCTGTATCAAACAGATGGGCACTTCATTCCATTCTGTTTTGTTCATTGCCATTCAAAATTTGTAACAAATCTCACCTTCCTATCAAGTGTAAACTCCTTGAAGGTAGGGACTATGATACACACTTATTCTCAAATTTGTGGGCGTCCAGCGAGGAACCTTGTGCTGCTCTGTGAGTACTTGTTGACGCACCACTGGCCCGGCCTGGAATCTCTAAAGACAGTCTCAGGCAGCGCCCAAGCACCTAACCTCAAGCAGTAACTGGTGAGTCTCTTCATACATGACTCTGTCCTCACATAACACCTGCTAAGACATCGGATCATGGGTCTGTGATAAGGGTAGATTAGATGCCATTAGACTGATTTTATGATTCCTAGAGAAAAGTAATAATGTTACAAGGAATTTAAAGGGATCCCCATTAGAAAGTGCCTTGCTCTAATCAACCTTGGAATTTACTGTTAGTAAACTTCTCCCCCATGGAAAGTAAAAAGAAATGTTGCCATCTGTGAAAAGCCTTGAACATGTAGACAGAAGAACATGTTTGGTCCATCACTACCATGTATCAGCTGTGTGACTTTGGACAAGTCATCTATGCCCTTTTAAACCTCAGTGTCTCCAGTCTTTAAAATGGAATTATAGTGCCTCCCAGGGTTATAACTACTCTCACAGGGCTATGGTAAGAATTAGATGTGGGCTGGTAATATGTGAAGTGTCATTTAAAAATCAGAGAGCACATTCATTTTTAGTATAAACTAAAGTTCCCTTCCCTCTGTTTTATTCTCAGGATTCAGAATCCAGACACAAGCTCTCCACAGGGAAGTACATGCACTGTGCTTATTTTAAAGAGAGAGAGTGTCCATCATCTCGCACTTAGGAGATCTACTGTAACCACCTTCTCAGCAACTGTAGATGTTGGAAGAGTCGTGTCTGCAGTCCTCAAGACAGCGTGATGCCCATGAGGTAAGGTGCCCTGCCTTGCTCAGTATCCCAGTGGAACAGCACCTGCTGAGAAAGCTGCCCAGGCTCCACCTTTCCCAGGGAGAATTCTGTGTTCCAGGCCATCCCCTTCTGAAAGACGGTTCTGCTTAGATTTGTCAGGAAAGGTGGTTAAACAATGCAGACAACAAAAGTGGGCCCCAAACCAAAGACCCTAGAAAAGAAGGAGAAATGGACACTCTGGAAGGGTAAGCAATTCTGTCTACCCAGCAGGCACCAATCTAACCTGCAATCAGGAGCCTGGACTCAAAGCTTGTCTCTGGGAGTCCAGCTTTGGGAAACTCACCCAACCTCTCTGATCCTTTAAAATTATGCTTTGTAAAATAATAATAATGCCAATCTTCTGGTGTTAATTAAGGATTACATTTGTATGAGTTTTACAAAGTGGAAAATGCCGTGGGATTATAAGCTGATTATAAATTTATCCGCCTAAAGTAACCATTCAGAACAGCCCAAATGAACTGTGTGTCTGTGGGTGTCCATAAGCTTGCTCACCAGGGAGCCTGAAGTGGGATTCTAAGAACCGCCCAAAGATCTGAAAAGGCATCTCCTTTTCAGAGATGGGTGTGCCGTGAAAGCCATTTGGTTTCCACGGGTGACTACAGGCCACCCTCACATGCTTGGCTGTTGTTTCCAAAGCACAAAGCCCTGGGACAGGGTAGGGGACCAGGCCGCATCCCTCCCGTGCCTTCACTCCAGGCTGTATGGTTCCCGAGGCTCTTCCTTTTGCCCTATCTTTTTAATTTTCCCAGTAAACCTGTTAGGCGAGCTGAGCAGATAAACCCTCTCTTCACCCACATATACCTCTTATGGATGACTTGCCTGAGGCCACAGAGCTCAAAATGACAGTGCCTGGAACCCCAGCTTGGATGGTTAGCTGGAATTTGAGCCCAGGTTTTTTAAAATCTTTGCCTATAGACCAGGCCATGAGCCCATGAGCCCATGAGCCCATGAGCCCGGCTTAGCCAAAGCCCTACGGGCCACAGCCTTGGCAGTCAGTGGCCCCCCACAGACACACAATTCCCTGGCAAGCCTGGCTAGACCCAGACATCTCCTTCTACTCATGCCTTTTTATTTTCTTGAATGTGTTTCCAAGGGGACCAGCGGGCACTTGCCCTCCCCACCTTGGTCCTCGCTCCCTGTGTGTAATTGGGGTGCACCATGTTGGCCCCGCACAGTGATGAATGGGCTTCTTCAGGCAAGCTGGCAGTGACTAAAGCCCCACCAGCCCCGCGGGCCGCTCCTGGGCAGTGCCGTGCCCTCAGATGCGATTAACCCCGTGTGTCACCATGCTTGGCAGCAGTTCCAGGAGGCAGGGAGGCCTTTGTTCATGCCATTGTCCTGTCAACTGGCCATAACTTCATTTGGCTGCCAGCTTGCTTGGCCTTTTGCATCATCCTGGCCTGCTCTCTCCTCCCTCGGGTCAGTGTTAGTCCATTATTCCAGATTTTCCAGGGACTATCCAGGGTGTGCGTGTGAAGCTCCTGCGTCTTCCCCCAAAGCAGCTTTGGAGTTAACATTGTTGACAGTGAACAAATCCTGCGTGGTCCAGGAGGTAGGCTTCCCAGGACTGCCCCCATCCTCACTGGTGCAGAGGAGGAGGACTTGTGTGTGGTGGACTAGCTCTCCAGGCTGTAGAGCAGGGGCGCGTTCAGACATTCAGTGCTTCCACACACTTTAATTGAGCACATACTGTGTGCCAGGCACTGTTCTAGACCCTGGAAATAAAGCAGTGAACAATAAAGACGAAAAGCCCCTGCTGTATGGAGCCACATTCTGAAGTGGGGAAGGGAGTGAGGAGAAGAGACAGGCATATAAACTGAAAAATGGGTTAAAAGATGCTATGGAGAAAAATAGAACAGTGAAGAAAAAGTTGGCTGTGGGGGATGCTCGTCCGAGCACCCCCCTAATGCCTAGCACAGAGTTGATCCCCGACTCTGATCTGACCGGCTCCTCAGTGCGGGGTCTGATTCCCACACCCCCAGCTATGGTTGGTTAGAGCTGCTAGGTTGGAAAGACCCCGTAGAATTACCCCCAGTAACCCTGCCAGCGGGGGTATCCCCCACAAGCCAGACTCCACCCAGTGCAACCCCCACCACCCAACCCTGCCCAAACATCCTCTTCTCGTCTATCTTTTCCCTTCTCCCACCCACACATACTGACTTGGCAGCCACCCAGACTTTGTACAGCCAAGTGGGGAGACGGGCCAGCCAACAGACCGTAACAGCGCAGAGATCAGTGACCGGCAGGGCCTGTGCGTGGGCTGTGGAAACCCTGAGTGGGGCAGGGGTCTTCATAGGGGGCTGTCCTGTGCCCTGGAGGATGATGAATGGCATTCCAGGCCTCCACCCACGAGCTGCCCGTAGCACCCCCGCCCTGAATGAAGACAACAAAACCATCTGCACACACTGCCCAATGTCCCCTTTTGCAAAGAACCACTGGTTGAACTCAACATCATTCAACTGATTTGACCGAGAAGCACTTTTCTTGTGCTTCTTGGCGGGGCGGGGTGGGGAGTGCCTATCAGTACTGCATGTACCCTGTGCCATTCTAAACACTCTGGGTGGTGCTACTTGTGGACAAAGCCAATTCCCTACCTCAGAGTCCAGGACTTTGGCTCTGGGCCCTGCCTGGTGTTCTGGCCATGGCTCGTGCCGTATGTGTCTCTACTTTCTGCTTCAGAAAGCCCAACAGTCTGTCATTGCCTGTGTACTCTCTGCACTGTATGTCCCGGGCCTTCCCTCGGGTGCTCCTGCTGCCTGCAGTGCCCTTCCCACCCAGCCTCTCCTGGTTCACTGATTCCTTCTTCAGGATTCTACTCGGGCATCCGCTCCTGCGGGAAACCATCCCTGAAGCCCAGACGGGGCTGAGTGGCCCCCTTTGCTCCCGAGCTCCCAGAGCACCTGGCCTTGGTCCTTCCTACCTTCGAGGCCTCAGACAGGCCCTATAGTCCTATGGTACCCCCATCCTGTAGCATAGGTAGTACGGGTCCATTTCTCCCACTTGACCTGCAAAGCAGAGACTTATCTTTTCATCTCCAGAACCCGACAAATTGTCTGGCCCAGAGTGGTTGCTCAGGAAAGGTCAAAATGAACTGACAAGTAAATAGAACACAAAGATGGGTGTGATAAGGGGAATGACGACGAGAGAATGCAGGCTTGAGGAGGGAAAGAACCAAGGGGGAATATTCTTTTTACAACCAGGAAGGGATGGCTAAGTTGCCTGCCTCTCGTTTCTTTCTCCTTTGGGCTAAATACTTCAGTTGCCTTAACCTTTAATCGCACATCCGTCTCATTTTCCAACCCTCTGATTGATCATCTTTGTCATTCACATCCCTCCATGCCTTCTCCACTTTTTCCAGAGGCTGCTTTTGTGTTTAATGTGATGTGTGCAAATTATTGGCCCAGAGAAGAGAGCGGAGAGAATTGAATTGGTGATTATGCTAATTATTTCCTTTTCCGTGTCAGGGGCTGCTCACAGGGAAGCCCACTTCTGGGGCCAGGAGGGTGGGCAGGGAAGAGGGGAGGAATGTGGAGGAAGAAGTGCTGGGCTCTGAGCTGGGGTATGGAAAGTCTGCACTGGAGGAAATACCTGAGGGATGTGGCTTCTCCACAGAGTTAGGGTCTTCAGCTGTGAAGGGGGCCTGCGCAAGTTCTGGGCTCTTTCGTCCACAGCATGACCTATGAGGGAGACACAGCTCCGTTTTATAGATGGTGAGGTGTGAGGAAACAATCCACAGATGGAGGGACTGTCCCGAGGTCACCCGCCTGGGCGGGGGAAACACGGTGAGCAGAGAGGAGGTTCCAACCTAGACCTTATAACTCCCGGTCCGGATGAGTTCCCTGGCCTCATAGCCCCTACTCAGGGTGGACTCTGGGGAGCAGTGATGGTGGAGGAGGCAGTCCTGGGGCCCGAAGCCCTTTAGCAGCCCTGACACTGTACGGCCCGGGCCCAGGATGCAGCTGGCCAGCCTGTTGCTCTCTGGTTGGCGGCTGCCCTCAAGCCACTCGAACCAGCGCTGTTGGGTTCAGTCACACGTTCCTTCGGTCCAGCCTCCCTGCGCCGCCCCACCTCAGCTCTCCACACAGCAGCTGTCTGGGGCGCCATCTGGACCCCTCACCCTTCAGCAACCCAGCAAAGTCCCGCCACATTTGTTCTGTTTGTCACTGGGGCTGGCTGGTGTATGTCAGGCAGCCAGTTACCAATGTCTGTTGAGGGCCGGGCACGGTTCTGGGCGATGGAGGTCAGAGCGGGATGAGGCAGAGTTCCTGCTCCCAGGGAGATTGCCCCCACCCTCGGGGATGTGGTGGGAGGACAAGTTTAGTCGGGGGACAGACAGAGGACCCTGTGGGCCCCAGGACCGGCCTTGCTGTTTAATGAAGTCTGGCTCTGTTGCAGATTCTCAGAGGTAGCTTTGAGGTGGAGAATCCTGTGGAGGCTGCTGTCGGGGCTGATGCCACCTCTGTCCCCCACCCATGCATGGAAGTGGCAGGAGCTGCCCCTCACTGATCCCCTTCCTCCCCCAGCACACAGAAACTCCAAGATGCTTAGTGAGAGGCCCGGGAGGCTCCTGAAGGGAGTTCTGCCCATGGTGGTGGGTGGCTGTCCTTTAGCCTGGATGTGGTTTCTAAAACTGAGTGCTGTGGCCCAACTTCATGCCACCCTGATGGGAGGCAGTAGGTGGAGAGATGAACAACACAGGTGGACACCCAGGTGCAGCCTGGGGCCAGTGACCTGACCACTCTCTGCCTCATTGTCCCCTGTATGGTAGGAACCGCACTAGGCCTACTTCCCAGGAGTGTGTGTGGATTAACGGACACGTGCAGTTGATAGCAAGGAGGGCACATGGCAAGGGCACAGTAAATGACAGCTCAGTTGCCTCACACCACCCTCCAACGGAGGTCCTGTTTCTGCCTTCTCATTCACACCTCCTCGACCACTGTCCAGAGTCCACAGAGAATGAA